AGCCACATCTTTATAACTCCTCTACCAATTAATGCGTTGAAACCCCCCACCCTTTCTTTTATTTTCCTCTTTCTCTTTCTTTTTTTTTTTGGGGGGGGTCCGGTCGTGGGGCCTGAACTCTGGGCCTGGGTGCTGTCCATCAGCTCTTCAGCTCAAGGCTAGCGCTCTACCACATGAGCCACAGCACCACTTCTGGCTTTTTTCTCTTTGCTTATGTGGTGCTGAGGAATCGAACCCAGGGCCTTGAGCATGCAAGGCAAGCGCTCTACCACTGAGCCACCTTCCCAGCCCCTTCTTTGTTTCTTTCTCTCTTTTTCTTTTTCTTTTTTTTTTTTCGGTTGGTCAGGGGCCTTAAATCTGGGCCTGGGCGCTGTCCCTCAGCTCTTAAACTCAAGGCTAGCATTCTACCACTTGGGTCACAGTGCCACTTCCAGCTTTTTCTGTTTATGTGGTGCTGAGGAATTGAACCCAGGGCCTCAGGCATGCGAGACAAGCGCTCTACCACTGAGCCACTTTCCCAGCCCCCACCCTTTCTTTTTGTGGCTTGAAAATCCCAAAGGTTTTTCATCTTTTGTGTATCTTTTCATGGAGAGAATTTTTTTACACTTTCATGTTGCCTATTTCATTGATCCTCAAACTATATTCAGGTAAAGGATCTTTTTGTTTGCTGTTTTTATTTGCACTAATGGTTGACTGGTACAATCTAAAATAAGATTAAAATAAGTTAGAAATGAAAACAAAAACTATATTAAGACAATTGTCATCAACATCTTGAAGTGACTTCGGCTCTTAGTGTTCATAGATTTTTTTTTAAGTGAAACACCTGTATTGAGCTAATGATATTTTGACACTTGACAGATGCTTTACAGTATAGAATAGAGATTATAAAAATATCATGAGGCCTGGATATAGAAAACAGCATGAAAGAAAAGAAAATCAAGGAGGCAGACATGAAAAAGAGGAACACTAGCACACTAGGATAATGACAAAATGTTCTCATAAAGTCTGAAAACAACTAGATTAAGAACAGAATACATTCTACCCCAGCACATTTCTTGCCATATGAGATGCTCTACTACAACCATAAGCCAGAAACACAGTGATCTTCCTCATTTATATGCTGTCACCCACAATGTCTAGGGCTTCCTCATTTTGAAGAAGAATGCTACTAGTGTCAGAGTTTATAAGTGAAAGCAAATTAATTTTAGATATGACAAGATTATCTATTCATTTGTTTATGGGATTCTTGATTAAAGTTTTCATTTCATGTCTCTTGATCAATTAATTTATCCAGATGGTTTCTGGAACATTCGCTAAACTTTCCAATTTTGTGGAGGAGTTAATTCAGAATGACCTATTTCAAACAGATCTCCTTTAAAAGCCATAGCACATATTAACTTTTTGTTGAACTCATTTCTAAATGGGTCATCTTTTCTGGGCCAGCTATTCCAAAATCCGAGAAAGAGATAGACAGAGACAGAGACAGACCAATAGAAAAGAGAGGTCTATGTTTCCCATGTCTTCATTTGTAAGAATTACGCAATCATTTTTCTTGACCTCTTTGTTCCAAACTCTGGTCTGGCAGATAAGTGGCATGAAATTTTATAATTGAAGGTCAAAGATCTTTTCTGATTCACTACAGTTTCTTAGTTTGCTGGGTAACAAAAGCAAAGAAAGGGGAAACAACTGTAACAGCACAAATGTTCAGACTGTGGGTGAACGTTTGTCTGAGTGTTGAAAGTGTGGATGCCAAGGTGTGTGTTGACTATGTTTACTACATATGTGTATCTGTTAGTAATGTGTATTGAGTGTGTTGTACTGTGTTGAGTGTTTGTGCATGTATAATGAGTTCTATATGTACTGGGTCTGTGCACTGAGGTGTGTGTATGTATGTATGAAATGTTTGGGTGTTGAGTATGTGTGTCATTGAATGTGTATTAAGTGTATATATGTGTTGAATGAATATGTGTGTGTATTTGCCTGTAAGGGTGTCCATGGTAGAACTGTGTGACAGAGACACCAGAAAAATTGAATCACACATGTTAGGTCACACACATTGCATCAGGAATCTAAAGGGCTGCTTCTAGAGTCTGATTTCTTTTGTGTGCTTTGCAGCTTGGCACCAACAAGACAACAAAGTAAAATACAGATTAGTATTTATTTGGACTAGTCTGGAAAATCAGAGAGGATCCCAGGGCAGATCTCATGGCTGGTATCTTCTCAGTCATTTCTTACTACAATTCATAGCCCACGTTTGCTTCCTTTCCAGTTAAAAAACAAACACTGGCTAGAACACAATTTACCATGAAAGGACACAATTCACCAAGAAAATCATAGAAATGACAATCAGTGGCCACCAAGAAACTGGCTCGCAGTTACCACTGTTAACAGGTAGTCTCTCTCTTTCTCCCTCCCCCCATACATACAGTGTGTGTGTGTGCACGCGCGCGTGCATGCTGATATTGGGGCTTGAACTTGGGGTCTTGCACTCTCACTTCTTTTTCTTCTGCTCAAGGCTGGCACTCTAACACTTGAACCACAGCTCCACTTCCAGCTTTTTGCTGGTTAATTGGAGAGAAGAGTCTCTCTCATAGACTTTTCTGCCCAGGCTGGCTTCAAACGCCAATCCATAAATCTGTTTCCTAAGCAGTTAGGAGTGTAGGTATGAGCCACCAGTGCCTAGCTGTAACTGGCACAATGTTGATCCCTCAACTGGACAGAAATGCTGAGATTTTCTCTCTCTTTCCCTTCTCAGTCTCTTCCCAGAGCACTCAAACCTGTCGCTGATAAGCTCTCCCAACAGCGACGGCAGACGCCAACATCAGGCATCTGTTTATGCCACACTGTGCAGAAACTTCTCTCCAGGTGACAAAATACACAGGCTTGGCCCCTGCAGCCCCGGCCTTCTTCATTCTTGCTCCAACCATACTAACCTTTTTATTTTTTATTTTTTTGGTGCTGGTCCTGGGGCTTGAACTCAGGCCTGAGCTTTTTTTGACTCAAGGCTAAGCTAGCACTCTACCGCTTGAGCTCCACTTCTGGCTTTTTTTTTTTTTTTAGTTTAGTGGAGAGAAGAATCTCAGACTTTCCTGTCCGGACTGGCTTTGAACTCAGATCTCCGCCTCCTGAGTAGGCAGGATTTCAGGTGTGAGCCACCAACACTAGGTTTTGTTTCTTTGCTGTTTGTTTTTTCTACTCGTTGAGCCCTCTAAGCTGTCCTTACCTCAGGGCCTTTGCATTTGCAGTTCTCTTTCCCTGGAATATTTCTTCCAGCTCTCAGCATGGTTCTTTTCAGTGCTACTGGAAGACTAGACAGATTCAGAACAGGGTAGTCACTGCTGCACCTGGACAGTGTGAACATTATCTGACATCCTGACAAATGTGATCTTAGCGGCTTAGCAGAGACAAAGCCCCGCGTGTAGAGAGGAGAACATGAAATTGGTAATTACAAAGAATGTATGCAAAGGGAGATAGGAAAAGCAGGTGCTGTTGTAAGTTTCCTTTCAAAGCCAGAGATAAGACAACATGTGTGCATTTGGGCACAAGGTCCCTAGGGAAGAGAAGTAGGAGGGCGGGGATGATTGTCTGGAAGAGTCATTTTGGAGTTGAGCAAAGTAAAAACAGAATGTGATTGGAGAGTCCTGTGGGGTTGCCAGGCACTGTGGAGTCTGTTCAATACATGTAATGCTCACACAATCCTTTGTTATTTTTATCTTACAGAGGAATGATCTAAGGACCGAAATGTTAGCTAAGTTGTCTAAGATCACATGGAAGGCAATTGGAGGAGCTGCGGTTGGAGGAAAGATTCTGACTGCACGTTAATTGCAAGATTCAAGGTTTGTCAGGTGCCATTGGTTTGTGCCTGCAATCCTAACTTACTTAGAAGGGTGAGACCTAAGAATTCAAACCAGCCTGCTCAGGAAAGTCTGTCAGACTCTTATCTCCAACTAACCAGCAAAAAGCCAGAAATGGAGGTATGGCTCAAGTGGTAGAATTCCAGCCTTGGGCAAAACTGCTAAGGGACAGTGCCCAGGCTCTGAGTTCAAGCCCCAGGACAGGCACAAAAAGGAGAGAGGGTTCAAGGTCAACTTCTTTTATCTTTCTATTGTCTCCAACTCAAAATCCTGCTCTAGCCTTCCTAGTGCTGAGATTATAGGTGTGTACCGCCATGCACAGCAGGAAGGCAGCTCTAACTAGCTGGTGGGCAGGATTTTTAAAAGTTCCCAACACAAAGAAATGATCAGTGTATGGTTGATACGTCACTTATCTCGAGCTGATCATCATATATTATATACATATATTGGAATATCACATGCTAGTCCCCAATAAGTAAGTACACTTATTATCTGTTGATTAAAAACCAACATGTTTTAAAACAGAAAGAAAAGTCAGTTCCTTAAAACAAAGGGGCCCAGAGCTATAACTGAAAAGCCAAGATGCTACAAGAATGGAAGTGCTCTAATGGTTTACAGTGGGGACATTTTCAAGACTTTGTTTAGCTGCTGAAGAGACATGTGTTGGCAATACTCCATTTTCCAAACAGGAGTGGACGCGGGCGTTTTCACTGAGCTACATCACTGAGCTCAGGGCTATTTTGGACACTTTTCTGTGTATTATGCCTCACAATAAAAGGCTTAAAAATGAACCTGAGATACCTTGTTGATGGTAGCTGGTATGAGACCATCTTCTTTCAAATGTGCCTCAATTTAGTAGCTCCCAAACCCAAATGGCCACCTGGGAAAACATCTGAAATGAAGCCTTTCTACCCAAGATCCAGAGACTCTGTTCCTTGGCACAAACCCAGAACTCCTATGATCAGAAAACTGCCTGTGGGGATAATTTGAGCCAAGTTTTGGGGGCCACCAGGCTCAACTAAAATGCAGTTTAAATTCATGTTTTCTGTGGTATTGGTTCTTATGGCCTGTGGAGATGCTATAAAGGTGCCTGGTGAGAGACAGAAGTCTGTTGGATGTGCTTTGTTCCTTGCTACATGCTGAACACAGCTCCAACCTTTACTTACCTTCCTTCTGGTCTTTCCATGGCTTTGTGCCAAGGAAGTAAAGTATATGCAAATACATTGTTTAACCTATCCTTTGACATCACATGATCAAAAAATGAATGGCAGCTCCTCTTTCCCTTTAGCTTTTGTCTTTTGTTTGTTTGTTTGGGGTAGCTTTTTCTTTTGACATCTAGGGAAAGACCTCATGCCAGAGAGAGAGAGAGAGAGAAAGAGAGAGAGAGAGAGAATGCTTTTGCAGGCGCCACATCTGTAAGTAGAAGACTCACACCCACCTGCGGGAATGGACCAGCATCCTATGGAATAAACAGTGGCAAATAGTCTACCTGCTAAGAGGGCTGTCACTGTCACCGTGCTGGTGGGGAGAGGAGATGTTCTCCATACTCATCCTTGATGTAGAGCCAGCTGAAAAGTCATGATGGTGGAGGCCCCACCTGGAAAGGAAGGCCAGAAGCGCTCAAGTGCGTGGGCTGGCATTTCAGGAGAAGATGAGGGCTGAGCAGAGCCAGCCTGGGATCACCGTGTTCTCTCTCCAGTCCCTTGAAGAAGCCGGCTCCGAGAGTATCTCAGAAACAACACAAAGCACAGCTCTATTTGCTGCCCTTACTGGGAAGACAGAAGAAAGGAGCAGGAGTTCGGGACTCACTCTGCAATTTGAATCTCAGGAATGCGTAAGAAGTGGCACGCTGCTGCTTCGTGAGCAGAGATGCTCTGTTGAAATTTGACTCATCCTTGCTGGTTTATTGTGTTTTCCCCTCTCCTTCTGTGACACAGAGGGGTGAGGTGAGTAAGGCTCTGCTCAGTGAGAGAAAAATAGATCTCCAAATGCCTTCCATTATGCTAGAGGCCTGTGTCACCAGCTGTGGTGGCAGGGGTGTGGTCTCCATCCACAGATTCAGAGCATCTGACTCCCTCTGCGGAGGCTATTTGTGGTTCAAAAAAACTCAGGCAGGAACTGAAAGCTGATAAGCATAGAAGAGTCTAAAAGCTCTGTTTGAGGGGGGGGGGAGGATCAGCCTGGTCCTGGTACACAGGAGTTCCCAAGGCCACACAGCAGGCAGTCCTACTTTCTGCCCCCGACAGGTGCCTGCCCCACCCTTTCCCCCCCGAAGGTGTAAGGATGACCTCTTCCACTCAAGAAGAAAGGAAAGAGCTAATGTTTCGGTGCAAGAAGCATTTTCCATATTTCTTTCACATGTGTGTGCTTTTGCACACAATTGAGGAGTGCTCTCAGTTTATCCTTTCCCACAGGAGGAACTGAAGCTTCAGGAAGGTTCTTTCACTCTCCTGAGTTCCTGGGCTAATGCAGGACCACAGAAAACAGCTCTAATTATATACATCCATGGGGGAATATGTGCTAAATTCTGTTATTTGAACAGTAAGTAAAAATGCAGTTATTTGAACAAGAAAAAGTGAAGGGAAAAAAATGATCTCGGTTGCTTCATTTGCTTGCTGGGTAGACTGCCTAGATTCCTGATCAATAACCCCAGACTCTCTCGGAGCATTGCTGTTACTGTCTAGAAGGAGGAAGTAAGGATGTGGTCAGTGCCAGAGGTAGAGGCTTGTTAACAGGATGGCAGCAAGCGCAAACCTTAGGTGATTATTCTGCAGCTTCTCCATTCCCTATAAAGACAAGAAAACCCCCATCTTCTCCTATGCAGTTTTTTTCTCTCTAAATACATTAAATTCCAATCTATGAGAAACATATTTTTTTTCCCTTCTGGAATTCACCGTATTATCCTCCTAACCAGCTGGATCCAAGCTAGGGAGAAAAATAAATATTTGTCTCAATGGCATTTTCTTATTCGGCTAATTGATTTTTTTCAACTCCAGTAACGCTTGAACATCCAGCCGCCTAATTACCAGCAGCTTTTCATTTGTGTGATCATTAACTCCACAGCTGCCTTGTCTGTGACAAGTGGGACCACAGAGATGACAGCCACACTGCTAGTTTCTGAAAGGAGGAACAGAAAAGAGGTTGGACTCTTGCAAAGTCCAGGTGGGTTTCAGGGAGGAAGCTATGCAGAATGGTGTTGAGCTAGAGGAGTCCTGGAGAGCATCTGGCTCAACCCTTCCACTTACAGATGAGGAAACTCAGGGTCTAGAAGGATTTAGGGACTTACCCAAGTCATCAGGCTGACTCAATGCAGAAATAGAAGCTTGGGACTTCTCATTCCTTGGCAAGAAAACAATGGTGTCAGAATAGGCTTGAACTCAGGGCCTCTTGCTTTCAACTTGTCTTCTTTGCTCCAGGCTTGTACTCTACTACTTGAGCTACACCTTCACTTCCAGTTAGAACTTTTTAATTGAAGTACACATTCAGAAAGGTGTGATGCATCATATTCATAAGCTGCTGTCTGTTAAATGGCAACTCCTTTGTACAACCACTTAAAGATAATAATACAAAAATATTTTAGAACATGTGTGCACATTTTAAGTATATCGTGTAAGTAATTATCATTACATGAAGCCCTCCATGGAGCCACCATCCAGGTCCAGGAACTGCCACCAGAATCCTAGGGAACTCCTGATGTCACACTTCCCTCCATCAGTAACTCCCTGCTCAAAAGTAACAACATCCCAACCTCTAATACCATAGACTGGTTGGGCTGAAAGCTCAGCTATTTAGACCTAAAAACCAAGCCTTCTTCCAGGTATGGCAGTACACACTTGTAGAGATAGTAGGAGTACAGTTTGAGATCACCGGACAAAAGCTAGGGAGACTCTATCTCAAAAACAAACTGGGGCCAGGCGCTGGTGGCTAACATCTGTAATCCTAGCTATTCAGGAGGTTGAGATCTGAGGATCGTGGTGGGAAGCCAACTCAGGCAGAAAAGCCCCTATGAGATTCTTATCTCCAATTAGCCACTCAAAAAAAACAAAAACAAAAACAAAAACAAAAAACCAAAGTGGAGCTGTGGCTCAAAGCAGTAAACATTAGCCTTGAGCAAAAGAGCTCAGGCCCTGAGTTCAAGCCCCAAGACCAACAAAAACAAATCAAAACAAAAAAAAACTGGGCATGGTGGCTTAAACTTATTTTCAGCTACTTGAGGGGTAGTAGCAGGAGAGCCAAGGCTCATTGCCAATCCAGGAAAAGAAACAAAACCCTATCTGGAAAACAAATGAAAAGACAAGAGTATTGATTAATTAATAGAGCATTTTACTACCAAATGGGAGACCCTGGACTCAATCCCCTATACTGCCAAAGAAACAAGAAGGAAAACAAAAAACAACCCTTCCTTTTTCATAGAGTATGTCTGTGCATTTCATCTCCTTTGAAACCTTTTGGTTTCTATAGAGGTGGGGGGTCACACAACATTGGATATGCCCAATGCCACCAAATCATTTACTAGAGGTGTTTAATTCTAATTTATATGATTTTTTTTCCTGTTTGGTCGTGGGGCCTGAATTCTTGGCCTGGGCACTGTCCCTCAGCTCTTCAGCTCAAGGCTAGTGCTCTACCACTTGAGCCACAGCGCCACTTCCGGCTTTTTCTGCTTATGTGGTGCTGAGGAATCAAACGCAGGGCCTCATGCATGCAAGGCAAGCACTCTACCACTGAGCCACCTTCCCAGCCCTATTTTATATGATTTTTTTAATCTCTAAAAATAATCTCTTAAGATATACAGCTTTTGTTGTATTTAAGTTTAAACTAAAAATATTCATCCCACACATCTAAGCAGTGCATAGTGCATGGAGCAAGTTTCTGCCACCACTGGGTGCTTTTCCCTATGTTCCCCTCACCAACTACTTCCCTCTCTCTTCACACAGAAAGGTTCTTTATCAGGGTCATCTTGTCAAAGCCAATGGTCAGTCCTCTCTCCTCGTCTCAGTTCTCCTGTGGGCAGCATTCCACCTAGACAACAATGCAATGGTTTATCTATGTATTTATGTATTTTTACTTTTTACCAGTCCTGAAGCTTGAACTCTGGGCCTGGGCACTGTCCCTGAGCTTCTTGTTTGACTCAAGGCTAGTGTTCTACCATTTAAGTCACAGTGCCACTTCTGGCCTTTTCTGAGTAGTTTATTGGAGATAAGAGTTTCACAGACTTTCTTGCCCAAGCTGGCTTTGAACCAGGATCCTCAGATCTTAGCATCCTGAGTAGCTAGTATTATAGGTGTGAACGACCAGTGCCCAATCATGGTTTAAACAAAACAAAACACATGTCTAGGCTTTGGGATGCCATGTTGATTTGAATGACTTCCTACTATCTCCTTTCTCATTTTCCTTTTCCTCTTCTTCCCTTCTCTGAATACTTCAAAGCCTAGGGCTCTGTTTGTGACCATGTCTTCTCTCTCCTTTAGCTGGGTGACCTCATCCTGTTCATTTCTATGTCTATGACTTATATAAATAAGAGTCTCCAGACTAAACATCACCCCCAAACTCCAGGCATGCTCTGTCCTACAGCCCATTTGTCATCTCTGTTTTAATGTTTCACACAGCCAAGACGGAAATATAGATTCCTTATTCCTAAACCCCACTGAGGGTTTCTCATTTGTTAAAATGATACCAGTATTCACCTTATTTCTTAGGCTAAAACTTAGTCATCATATTGAATCATCTCTTTCATCTCACTTCTAACCCAAATACATCCCACTTCCTCTTCCTCTAAAATGTATCCCGAATGAGCCCCCTTTCTTCTTCTTCTTTTTTTTTTTTGGAGTCCGGTCCCAGGGCCTGAACTCTGGGCCTGGGCGCTGTCCCTCAGCTCTTCAGCTCAAGGCTAGTGGTCTACCACTTGAGCCACAGTGCCGCTTTTTTCTTTTTGCTTATGTGGTGCCGAGGAATCAAACCCAGGGCCTCAGGCATGCAAGGCAAGCGCTCTACCACTGAGCCACCTTCCCAGCCCCTCCCTTTCTTCATTTCTATATTCCACTGCCCTCCAAACCTGATTCAAGGCCCTCCTGACTTACCTGGATTATCATTCTCTCCTGAGGTCTCTCTTCCTTCCATCGTGCTTTCCTTCAGCAACCCAACCCCTGGAATCATGCTTTCAAAGGTAAGACTGGGCTTCACCCATATACACTGTGAGTGCCTAAGCTCTCACAAGGTCAAGAGGACTGACCTCTCTGACCTTGGCTCTTTCTACTCATCTCCTCGCTCAGGACACTGCAACCCACTTGGCTTTGTTTTTGTCTCCATCTTTACACTTGCTCTTCCCAGAGGAAATGTTTAAGCAGCTGCCTTTTCTCATCACATTGTTATGGCCCCAACTCAAATGTTGTTTTTCATTGAGAGAATCTTCCCTGCGCTGACAGCAGTCATTTTGAGATCTAAATTGTTCTTCGGTATTTATCTTTGACTTATTTAAGGATGGTATCCTCTTGCTGGAATGGAATCTCCCTGGTATCTGGCAATAGGAAGCACTAGGTGAGTATCAGTGAGCCAGCTAGAGCTCATGAAACTGGTGAAAAATCACATCATATAATACTGTTATTTATCATTTCAGGACACTAAGTTGCAGCTCATGGAAACCTAACTCGGGCTGTCTTAAGCCATAGTAACAGAGAAAACCAGAAGTAGGCCTCTATATTGGTCTGCCTTTTATTTTCCTGAGACTGGGTACAATTGTAGAGATCCCAGGTCTCAGTACTGGCATCTGTTGGGCTCTGCTGAGGACTTACGTAGCAGATGGCATAGAGTGGTGGAAACGCACGTGGAAGGGAGAGACTATGTGATGAGGCTGGAATCCAGAGTGGGGAAGGGCTAGTCTTGCTCTTTTATAACATCTCCCTTGAGAACTTGTCAGTTCTTCTTTAGGTGCAAGTTATAGAGACACTCACCCTAGCTTCTATCCCCCTGTCTCCAGAGATGTGGGGGACGATCCATAGCTTATACAAATATTACATCGAAGGCTGTCTTGAAAGTGCATCTGTCCCGATCTTTACATTGTGAGCATCCTCTTTTTGGCTGCTCTCTTGCGGGTAGAAGGACTGGAGAGCTGGTCCCACTTCTCATGATTGCCACAGTCAAATCTAAAGATTAACATTCAATAGGTCATTGGTTTTCTTCCAATTTCATTCATTTGTCAAAATTACCTTTCCTAATTTTTTCTAATTGTCATAAATATGGGAACAAAGTACTATTCATGGCCCTCAGTTGTCATAAAAAAGGTAGCCTGAAGAATATTTCAGTCATAAGTAATAGAATTACCTTAAATAATAATAAGCATTTACTAGTACCCATAAATTTAGATTGAGTCAGGCTAGGTGCTGGTAGTTCATGACTATAATCCTAGCTACTCAGAAGGCTGAGATATGAGGATCATGTTTTGAAGCCAGCCTGGGCAGGAAAATCAGTGAGACTCAAAAAGCCAAAAGCAGAGCTGGGGTTGAAGTGGTAGAACATTAGGCTTAAACACAACAGCTCATGGGCTGGGAAGGTGACTCAGTGGTTGAGCGCTTGCCTTGTAAGCATGAGGTCCTGGGTTTGATTCCTCAGCACCACATAAGCAAAAAGAAAAAAAGCCGGAAGTGGCGCTGTGGCTCAAGTGGTAGAGCACTAGCCTTGAGCTGAAGAACTGAGGGTCAGCGCCCAGGCCGAGAGTTCAGGCCCCACGACCGGACCCCAAAAAAACAAAAACAAAAACAAAGAGCAACAGCTCAGCCGGGTGCTGGTGGCTCATGCCTGTAATCCTAGCTATTCAGGAGGCTGAGATCTGAGGATTGCGGTTCAAAGCCAGCCCGGGCAAGAAAGGCCGTGAGACTTTTACCTCCAATAAACCACTAGAAAACTGGAAGTGGCGCTGTGGCTCAAGAGGTAGAGCACTCGCCTTGAGTTGAAGAGCACAGAGATAGTGCCCAAGCCCAGAGTTTAAGCCCCACGACCAACCAAAAACAAACAAACAAAAACAAGAATAACAGCTCAGGGTCGGTGCCCAAGCCCTGAGTTCAAGCCCCAGGACACACACACACACACACACACACACACACACAATTAGATTGACTCAGGTTTGTTCACTCTGCTCTCCTGGCATCATCCTAAGAGTTGTTCCTTTTGGAAAAGGAAGATAAGGGAGGGAATGAGAAAGAAAGATTGTAGGACAGTTGCCAGAAAATAAGGGCAAGGGCAGAAGAGGAGGTGAGCTTCCCCAAAGAATAAGGCCCCTCAGACTTTTACCTGATATTGAAGGTAGGGTCAACTTCTACTGCGAGAAGGGGGCTGACACTCTGGGGGGGGGGGAGCTGGGAAGCTGGGCTGGGTATGTAAAATACCATGAAATATATGGTGGGTATATCAAAATGTAAATATTAGAAAGCCTATCATTAAAAGAAGTGTTTGTATATTAGTCCATGTGATCCTTCAGTGATGGCATAGCTATGGTTCTCATTTTCTGGTAAGTTCAAATCACCTGTGGTGATTCTGGTTCAGAAGGTAGGTGGTGTGCCCTAAGTACTTGTGGTTTTTCAGAGCTGTATAGTTGGTTTTGCTTACCAGGCTGGCAGGTAAACAGTAGCATCCCACAGGTATGTCAATAAGAGTTCAGCATGGTCCTTGCCCTGAAAGTCTACACAAAATATCAAGACATTAACATAGAGCCAGAGGAGTTCAGAGGAAGAGGTCCCCAGGGGCTAGTAAGTTGGGAAGGATCCTGGGAGACAGTGGGACCTCCAACGATGACTAAGACTTGAGAACCAGCAGGAGCAACATAACCAGAAGGGCACAGCAGGAGTAGGGGTGGAAAACGAAGGAACATTTGTCACATTCATGTGTCATCTTTGTTAGGGGACAGACCGATCTCTGGTTTGTTGACATATTAGTTCATAGAAAAAGGAAGTCTTCTCATCTTGAACCAACAACTAGAGAAACTGAGGTTTGTTTCCAGAACTGGGTGAATCAGTGTTATCTGATATTCCTGAAACTATTCACCTAGCTTCCTCTTTGAGCACAGAGGGGATTTTAAGAGACGCCATTGGGGTTTTCACATATTTTATTTGTTCAAAATCAGATCCACTGAGTGGAAAAACCCTATGAGATCACCTCTGTGCTCTACCCAAGCCATGCGAGGGATAAGCAATGAAGTTAGATCAGGAGGTATTGCAATTCTTTCTCCATGCAAACAAAGATAAATCCAATCAAACCCAGCTAGGCTGCAAAAGTGATTAGGAGGAAGGCTGGAAACAACCTGAGAGTGTGGGGGAAGTTTGTACATTGGCTGGCAATTGGATTCCATTTAAAGATTCAATTAGTGACGGATCCAGAATAGAGCTTCCTTCAGTGAGTGTGGTGGTGCCAGGCAGAGGCCGGGTGCTTTGCTGATGGCACAGGAGGTGAGTCATCCCACACTGGCTCCTTCCGCCAGGCTGGGACAAATGTCACCCACTTAACTTTGATGGATGCACCTTATGCACAAAAATATGTGGACAGATAGTGATTTAAAAAAAAAACCAAAACTCTACCATTAGTCATCATTCTTAACAAATGTCATTCCCTTTGTTGTTTTACCTTTCTTGGTGCTCATAAATTGTTGTGTTGTGAACTCTGAGAGGGTCTCCCTGGTGCTAACGGAGTTTCTGAGCATTACTGTTGGGAGCAGGCATCCAGTGACTAGGGCTGGTCTGGGAATAATGCCCTTGGTAGATGGAGTGGGTGTCCAGCTGAGGTAGAAAGGAGCAGTGGGACTCCCGGGGAGACCAGGGGGAGTCCAGGCTTCCTTCTTGTAGGAGAATGTGGTGGGCGAGCACCGTTTCCTGAAAAAGGAAACATAAAAGCAGGGAGTAAGATAAATTCCCTTTTGGCTATGTGTGCAAAGAGTCAGTGTCTTCTTTTGCTCTTAACAGTTGGTCAAATGATTGTAAGAAGGGAAAGTAATTACTTCAGTGGAGACTAAAATAAAATTAGGATTATTTAACTGTTAACAGAATATAAAAGACAAGGGAAGATAAATACTTTTTAAATGCTTTCCCCCACCCAATATTTCTTTCTTGTTTTTTTTTTTTTTTTTACAGAACATTGCTGTGTACCCAGGCTGATCTGAGACATATGGTCTTCCTGTGTCAGCTTCTTGAGGGCTAGGATTACAGCCATGCTTCACAATGTCCATACCTATAAAAGTCTAAATGCTCAATCACATATTTACTATGTGAAAAAAGGCTATTTTTAGAAAACATTTATTGCTCCTTTTGTGTGATTTGTTTTGTGCCTGTCCTGAGGTTTTAATTCACTACTCCTTAGCATTTTTGCTCAAGGCTTGTATTCTACCACTTGAGCCGCAGCTCCACTTCGGGCTTCATGGTAGTTAATTGGAGATAAGAGTCTCATAGACTTTCCTGCCTGGGCTGGATTCAAATCATGATCCTCAGATCTCAGGCTCTTGACTAGCTTGAATACAGGTGTGAGCCACCAGTATCAACACCTCTAGTTTGTTTGCTTTTTTGTCTTTTCTTTTTTGGTACTGGAGATCAAATCCAGGATGTCGGACTTGCTAGGCAAGTGCTTTGTCACCTAACTACATCCCAGCCCCTTGCTTGCTTTTTAAAAAAGCAAAACCAAAAGCTCCAATGGCCTCTGATATACTTAAAATGACTAATTGTGCAAAAAGGTAAGGGAGTATTCTTTTGTTTTGTTTTGTTGGTCATGGGGCTTGAACTCTGGGCCCTGAGCACTGTCCCTCAGCTCTTCAGCTCAAGGCGAGCGCTCTAAAAGGAGTATTCTTCAACAAAAGAAATGGTTCATCTTTATACCTGAAATGCTTATGTATCTGCAAACTACACATAGACTAAGAGGCATATCAAAAATCTATTTGAAACAAATACAGCATCTTCTACTAGAAGTGTCCAGATGTTTTTCCCTTAGTTTTTTTTTTTTTTTGGCCATGGGGCTTGAACTCTGGGCCTGGGCACTGTCCCTCAGCTCTTCAGCTCAAGGCGAGCACTCTACTGCTTGAGCCACAGTGCCACTTCCGGTTTATTGGAGATAAGAGTGACAAGGACTTTCCTGCCTGGGCTGGCTTTGAACCGCAATCCTCAGATCTCAGCCTCCTGAGTAGCTAGGATTACAGGCGTGAGCCACCGGCACCCGGCTCCCTTAGTTTTAACCTGAGGAAAACCAGGTGACAGTTTCAAAGTTTCTGATATGGGTGCTCCTACAAGAAAAGCAGCACCAGAGATTCCCAAATATGGTGCATGAGAAGTCTGCCTTCTTCCCAACTGTAGTGCCTGTTACAACTCACTGCAAGACTCCTTTACAGCTTTGATACTTTTGTTTATTATTTTTTTATTATTTTCTCTTGGTGTGGTGCTAGAACCTCACGCTAGGCTAACCTCTCTCCCACCAAGCTCTGCCCTATCTCTTGTAGCAAGCTCCTCTTCAGTGGGGAATTACGCATTCTCCCAGCAGGGGGAATTCTGGTGGCTGATGGCTCTCAGCTGAATTGCTCTAAGTCCCTTCTATAGGAGTTCTAGTTGATCACTTAGTTGATAAATTAGAGAGGGGTAAATATAAAACCCTGACCTCCTAGACATAAGGGGTGGAAGATCTCAGCCCACCTCCAGAGCTCCTTCTATGGGATTGACGAAGGCACCTGTTGCAACTACACAGCAGCTCCCTCACTGGTGATATCACCAAACACGCTCCAACAATCCCTGGCACAGAAATCTCAGAGGCCTTTTCCTAGGAAACCCAACCTACAAAGTTTATCAGGACCACAAAGAGCTTTTCATGAGTAGTAATTACAGAGGAAGAGTGTACCCCTATAAAATTACCTATTACATCTATTGGGTTTTGAACACAATGAGCCACACTTCCATTTTTGTATGCACAATACCAAAATGCAAGCAACACAAAAATCGTCTTGAAGGGCTGTGAAAATAAATGAATTCATAAAATGAATTCATTGTCGCAAGGATACATAAAAATATGTATCAGAATCAAAATAAGAGCTAAGTAAGATCATTTGGACACATAGGTCGTTCTTGGTTAGTAAGTTACAGCTTGTATGATTGTATGTTTTTCCTCACTCTTCTCCCCCAAAGCTGCTTGGCCATGTTTATTCACTACAATGCCCTCATTAGGGTTTAAATAATCAGATATTGGAATATGCACTGATCATGACTGCCACCTAATGGAACTTTGGGGTATTAAAGCTCCTATTATGTAGGTGGTGTTGGGTTTTTTATTTTCCCAACTGCTGGCATAACTAAAATGGCCAATTGTAGCTATAATAAACTACGAGCCACTAGTCTTGAAAGGCCAAACTCTGGGATCATTTTGTCTCCTGTGAAAAGTCACGTGGCATCTCCTTTCCCTTCTACATGTGGCAATGCGTGTCCCTCCAACCATGGTTGTTTGGTTCAAGTAGCCTTCAAAAAGATTATTCTGCCCTGTATAGTGGTGTATTTTGGTAATGCCAGCAACCAGCAGTCGAAGGCAGGAGTATCATGAGTTCCAGGCCGACCTGGTGACACAGTGAGACCCTGTCCCCTCCCCACAAATAGACAAAAAGACTGTTCTATCATCCACTGTGCCATAAAAGGGATATGAAGCCTTTTGTCCCTTTCCTCCTTTCTTTAAGATAAATATAAGCTATAGGTATCATTGAATAGGGATGGGAAATATCCAGATGAAGAGGACACAATCGGGCTGTGACGCCAAGAAATCAAATGCACTCCAGGTTCAAAAGACTCTAAGACTGCTGCAGCAGCAGCTGTTATCTGAGAAAGCCAAATAGGGAAAGCTACCCGCCCCCCCTCCCCCACTACTACACTCCCTTCTGAAGAAATCCATGCAGTTTCCTTATAGATGTCCCACATTCTGGACCTGCAGTTCTTCTTTCAAGGCCATTCTACTTGCTGCCCTAAGTCTGTGTTTTCTATAAACTGGAAGCTCCCTCAGAAGGCTTGATTACATTAGGCAAGCACTTTCGGTTGGTTTACTTCATAGGTAACACTATTATGTTACACCAAATCAAGAGGCATATAGTCAGGCTCTCCTGTAATTAGTTGTGTCAAGTTTGGTTACCAGATTAAGGTCTGTGTCCACTGAGTTTCTTCATAGTAAGGTGTATTTCCCCCATTGTGATTACTAAGAAATCTGGAGTATAACTTTATGTAAGTATAATTATGGAGTATAATACTGTTATGTGATGTCTTAACTCTATACAGACATCTTCCCCTTTCCTATTATCTTTTACTAATGGGTCTTAGCTTCTATTGATGGTCTCTGCTTCAATCATTGGGAATCACAAGTGAGGAATTTTCTAATTCTCACTCCATCTATGTTTACATGACACTTTTTTTTTTCTGGTCCTGGCCTTGAACTCTGGGCCTGGGTTCTCTCTCTAATCTTTTGCTCAAGGCTAACACTCTACCACTTGAGCTATAGTACCACTTCAGGCTTTATCTGTGATTAATTGGAGAGAAGAGTTGCATGGACTTTCCTACCTGGGCTGGCTTCAAACCACGATCCTCAGATCTCAGCCTCCTGAACAACTAGGATTACAGGCCTGGGCCACTGGCACCTGGCCCATTTTATTTTATTTTTTGTCAGTTGTGGAACTTGAACTCAGGGGCGCTGTTCCTAAGCAATTTTGCTCAAGGCTAGAGCTCTACCACTCTGAGCCACAGTTCTGCTTCTGGATTTTGAATGGTTAATTGGAGATGAGAGTCTCATGGGAACTTTTCTGCCTGGGCTGTCTTTGAACTACAATCCTCTGATTTCAGCCTCCTGAGTAGCTAGGATTACAGATGTGAGCCACCAGTGTCCAGCATGATACATTATTTATTGTAAAAATACTGTACAGAGGGTTTAGTTACATAAGTAAGGTAATAAATACATTTCCTATCGAGCATTGTTACCCCTTCCTTTGTTTTCCCCTATTATCCCTCCCCTGCCCCCTCCACTGAGTTGTAAAGTTCATTTTCAACATAGTGCCTTTATGTCTATATTGTTATAATGGGTCAACCTGTATCCTTGTTTCAGCATTTTGTTATTTCCCTTCCCCTCCCCAAATTAGAAAAATGTATATACAAGATGCAGGGCACCAGAATCAAATACAGTGACAACAGGGGATATACCATGGGGGAAGAACATACAAAAGAAACAAAAAAAATCACATAGCACATTAAAAACAACAGTGACAAAGAAAAAACCTCTTGTAGCTAAGATATAGAACCAACCCAGATGCCTCTCAGTAGATGAATGGATCAAGAAAATGTGGCAAATATATACAATGAAATTCTATGCCTCCATCAGAAAGAATGACACCGCCCCTCTTGTTAGGAAATGGAAACTTGGACAAAATTATATTAATTGAAGTAAGTCAGACCCAAAGAAATATAGGTCTCATGGTTTCTCTTATTTGCAATAACTAGTATATGTCTAAGATAATCTTACCAGACAAGCAGAAAAGGTGACCATATAAGATGATGCTAAGCAGAAATGAATCTCCAAATGACACATTTTTGTTTTTTTATTGTAAAAATACTGTACAGAGGGGTTACAGTTACATGAGTAAGGTAATGAGTATCTTTCCTATCCAGCAGTTACCTCTTCCTTTGACACTTTTTTTTTCAAAAATTTTATTGTGATTAAGTGGTTACATAATTTCCCAAATTTCACAGTATTGTGGGATAGTGAAGCTTAGTTAAAGTCACAAACACATTCTAACTTTCATAGGACAAATTGTCTATCACGGTCTATAGCATTTTTTTGTTGTTGGTCATGGGGCTTGAACTCTGGGCCTGGGCGCTGTCCCTCAGCTCTTCAGCTCAAGGCGAGGGCTCTACCACTTGAGCTACAGTGCCACTTCCGGTTTTCTGGTGGTTTATTGGAGATAGGAGTCTCACGGTCTCTCCTGCCTGGGCTGGCTTTGAACCCCTCAGACCTCAGCCTCCTGAGTAGCTAGGATTACAGGCGTGAGCCACCAGCGCCCGGCCGTCTATAACATTTATGAGTCCTATGGGCTTTGCAATAGTTATTCTTCCACATTGGGTGATATGTACTTTTCTTTTGTTTTGCATAGCATCAGCTGTTCCCTCTTTCCCACTTGTTCCCTCCCTCCTATTGCTGCCATTGAGTTGCTTAGTTCAGTTTGGCCAATGTCCAGTGCAGTTGATGGGTCCTGCTGTTGTATGTTTTTCCCTGATTACCTCTAGTTCTGTGTCA